CCCTTAAAGTCAATTAGTATCCCAAAGTTAGAATTATGCGCGGCGTTATTGGGTGCAAAACTGTTTAAAAGAGTACGTGAAGCCCTTTACTGTGTTGATTTTAACAACGTAGTTTTTTGGACCGACTCCACTATTGTGCTGGGTTGGTTACCCATGGCTCCTAACTTGCTAAAAACATTTGTGAGGAATAGAGTGTCAGTAATCCATGAAATTGTTAAGGATGTACCCTGGTATCATGTAAGTGGAGGCAACAACCCCGCGGATTTAGTGTTCCGGGGGCTGTATTTAGACAAACTTAAATCAGCCTCATTATGGTGGGAGGGACCGTCATTTCCTCATAGTTCTGAAATTGAGTACGGAACCAACCGTGAAAATATGAATAGTAAACAAGATTTACCTGAACTAAAGGTAAACTGCACCTTTTTGGCTAGGACAGTGATTTCTATTTTTCCTTTTCAAAGATTTTCACAATATAGTTATAATTTTTATTATTTTTAAAGCATGTAACTGCTTGATGTTTAAATCTAAAGAAAATATAACTAGAAAAAATTCCACGCGGACCAGGCAGCAGACGGGACTCGAACCCGCACCCTTCGCAATCCGGGCGAATGCACTGACCAATTATATAAATTAGTTATATTTTCTTTAGATTTAAACATCAAGCAGTTACATGCTTTAAAAATAATAAAAATTATAACTATAATTGCTATTTCTTCTTTCAAATGTTTAATACTTGTAAAAGTATTCATTTGACATTGTGGGTTTACCTATAATGCGAAGAGATGGCGCTGCCTTGCAGCTTAAGAATAGCTAGAAAGAATTTCGACGCGGTCCGTGAGGGCCGCGGTAGCATAATTGGTCAGTGCATTCGCCCGGATTGCGAAGGGTGCGGGTTCGAGTCCCGTCTGCTGCCTGGTCCGCGTGGAATTTTTTCTAGTTATATTTTCTTTAGATTTAAACATCAAGCAGTTACATGCTTTAAAAATAATAAAAATTATAACTATAATTGCTATTTCTTCTTTCAAATGTTTAATACTTGTAAAAGTATTCATTTGACATTGTGGGTTTACCTATAATGCGAAGAGATGGCGCTGCCTTGCAGCTTAAGAATAGCTAGAAAGAATTTCGACGCGGTCCGTGAGGGCCGCGGTAGCATAATTGGTCAGTGCATTCGCCCGGATTGCGAAGGGTGCGGGTTCGAGTCCCGTCTGCTGCCTGGTCCGCGTGGAATTTTTTCTAGTTATATTTTCTTTAGATTTAAACATCAAGCAGTTACATGCTTTAAAAATAATAAAAATTATAACTATAATTGCTATTTCTTCTTTCAAATGTTTAATACTTGTAAAAGTATTCATTTGACATTGTGGGTTTACCTATAATGCGAAGAGATGGCGCTGCCTTGCAGCTTAAGAATAGCTAGAAAGAATTTCGACGCGGTCCGTGAGGGCCGCGGTAGCATAATTGGTCAGTGCATTCGCCCGGATTGCGAAGGGTGCGGGTTCGAGTCCCGTCTGCTGCCTGGTCCGCGTGGAATTTTTTCTAGTTATATTTTCTTTAGATTTAAACATCAAGCAGTTACATGCTTTAAAAATAATAAAAATTATAACTATAATTGCTATTTCTTCTTTCAAATGTTTAATACTTGTAAAAGTATTCATTTGACATTGTGGGTTTACCTATAATGCGAAGAGATGGCGCTGCCTTGCAGCTTAAGAATAGCTAGAAAGAATTTCGACGCGGTCCGTGAGGGCCGCGGTAGCATAATTGGTCAGTGCATTCGCCCGGATTGCGAAGGGTGCGGGTTCGAGTCCCGTCTGCTGCCTGGTCCGCGTGGAATTTTTTCTAGTTATATTTTCTTTAGATTTAAACATCAAGCAGTTACATGCTTTAAAAATAATAAAAATTATAACTATAATTGCTATTTCTTCTTTCAAATGTTTAATACTTGTAAAAGTATTCATTTGACATTGTGGGTTTACCTATAATGCGAAGAGATGGCGCTGCCTTGCAGCTTAAGAATAGCTAGAAAGAATTTCGACGCGGTCCGTGAGGGCCGCGGTAGCATAATTGGTCAGTGCATTCGCCCGGATTGCGAAGGGTGCGGGTTCGAGTCCCGTCTGCTGCCTGGTCCGCGTGGAATTTTTTCTAGTTATATTTTCTTTAGATTTAAACATCAAGCAGTTACATGCTTTAAAAATAATAAAAATTATAACTATAATTGCTATTTCTTCTTTCAAATGTTTAATACTTGTAAAAGTATTCATTTGACATTGTGGGTTTACCTATAATGCGAAGAGATGGCGCTGCCTTGCAGCTTAAGAATAGCTAGAAAGAATTTCGACGCGGTCCGTGAGGGCCGCGGTAGCATAATTGGTCAGTGCATTCGCCCGGATTGCGAAGGGTGCGGGTTCGATTTTCACAATATACTCGTATGAAATATATGCTAGCGTATGTCCTGCGTTTTGTACATAACACGCGTAATAAATATCACGGCCGCCGCGGGCCACTCACTGTTGAGGAGTTGCGATTGTCAAACTTACATCTTATAAGGTTTTCGCAGCAAGAATCGTTTCCAGAGGAATACAAAATACTATTGAACAACGGACATCTAAAAACTACTCACAAATTGATAAAATTAAATTTATTTATGGATGATGACCAAATCATACGCGTAGGAGGTAGGATGGAAAATTCAGCAGATTTTCCTTATGATAAGAAGCATCTAATGTTGTTATCGTCTAAACACTGGTTTACAATGGTGCTTTTTCGGGACGAACATAAGCATTTGCAGCATGCCGCGCCGCAGGCGCTATTGTACAATATACGCGAACATTATTGGCCAGTTGGAGGTCATCTTGCTAGGCTAACTATACACAACTGCATTATTTGTAAGCGATTGAGGGGTAAAACTTTGTCACCCATGATGGGTAACTTACCGCAAGAAAGAATCACTCTGAGTTTTCCTTTTATAAATTGTGGCGTAGACTATGCAGGGCCAGTGTTCACATTATACCGCAGAGGCAGAGGCTCAAGGTTGGTCAATGTTTGTCTATTCGTCTGCTTTGTAACTCGCGCCGTGCATTTAGAGCTAGTTAGTGACTTATCTTCGGACGCCTACCTTCTCGCATTAAAGAGATTCATCTCACGTCGCGGTTAACCTGATCAAATTTTCTCAGATAACAGTAGAAAATTTGTAGGCGTTTCAAACGAATATGCAAAATTTTTGTCAACTTGCTCTGATGATATTATTGAATACGCAACTACACAATCGATTAAGTTCTCATTCATCCCCCCATACGCACCTCATTTGGTGGACTGTGGGAACCTGGAGTCAAATCCTGCAAGTATCACTTACTTAGGGTTATTGGTAATGCACATTTGACATTTGAGGAATTTAGCACAGTATTGTCACAGGTTGAAGCTATCCTAAATTCCCGCCCACTGAGTCCTATGTCCTCTGATCCAAACGACATTAACCCTTTGTGTCCAGCTCATTTCCTTATTGGGCGGCCTTTGACAGCACCTGCATCGGCTCACTACACAGATGTTCCTGTTCACCGCTTGACGAACTACCAAAGACTAGAGCAGCTTCGACAGCACTTTTGGACTCGCTGGAACAAGGAATATATCTCGGAACTGCAAATCAGAACAAAATGGACAGGAAATGTAGGCGATCTTCAACCTAATACATTGGTTGTGATCAAAGAGGATACCGTTCCTCCTCTGAAGTGGAGCTTGGGTCGCCACGCCAGGAAAAGATGGAATTTCACGAGTGGCAGACATTCAGACTGCTGCTGGTATTGTACGTCGTGCTTTCTCCAAAATCTGTCTCCTCTTCGACATAGAAGACAAGGTGTTGGACGCTGGTGCTTCTAAGGCCGGCGGCATGTTGATGCATGAGTAAGAAGTTCTGCCTACACCGGACCGTCGCTCCATTTCTACCAGTAGAAGCAGCTTTGACCCACGTGATCAAAAAACACCCCTCTTCACTTCACTCTCTACGCAATTCAAATTTTGTACGCTCAACTTTTTCGCAATTTTCGTTTAATTTTATTTTTTGTAATTACATTCGCAATATACGCATTATTCAAGTAAACAACTGAGTTTTATTGAACACTACGCATAACGCCGATACAGGTAGTATTATTGTATTTAACCTAAAAAAAATGCCGGACGCTAAGTCATCTATCAAAATTATCATTTTCGGCGGCCTTACCCACGTACGATTGTTGTGGAACACTCGGTTAGGAAAGTTAATAATAAACGAAAGTATAAGTACATAACTACACACAATACGCTACGAAAAAATAATAATTAATAAATAAAATAAGATAGAAGTCATGCAATGACGTTTGAGCGTACACTTCCGCATAATCTATGCGTATTACCCAACCAAAAAGTATTTGTGGCGTGTTGGCAGGTTGCATTTGACATTAAGTAGCTTTTTGATTTGGTATCCACGAAGCGTACAAAATCCAAAGATATAGAATTTGACATCTGTATATTTGTATAGTGGTACGCACGCTGTTCATAGCAACATATGTTTGTCTCTTTTATGGTCTTTATGCAAGTGAAAGTCGAAAACTACGGCCGGAGACCTTGTACTGAGAAGAACCGGCAAGAAACTCGGCAAGGCCTGCTTTTTTCTCCCTGTTTTATTTCATACAGTGTCGTAAAATTGAAAGCTGACATCAGACTTGCAAACATATATTGAGATCAACTTCTATCACATAATATCACATAATAAACAATCAAAGAATTTACTAACAATAAGTGTAGAGTCCAAAAAGAGCAAGAAAGATAACAATATGAGTCTCGACGCGAGAGTGAAGTGCGAGTTGAATTTAAATTCTTTCTATGCTTTAGTTCTGGTTCAGAGGAAAATCTTAAATTTTTTTTCCTGTAAGCCCCCATCCGCCAAGTCTGTACCGTGCGACGAGGAACTTCTTTCCAAAAACGTTGAATTCTGCTGCTAGTAAAACTAGTTTGTCGTCCCGCAGGCTTCTCCAACGGCACGTTCTTCCTGCACGAGCTCCCCGACGTCAATCTGGTTCACTCGCTGAACGTGTCCGAGCACCGCATCGGCAGCGCGGCGCTCTCCCCGCACGGAGACTGGCTGGCGCTGGCCTGCCCGCATATAGGGCAGCTGCTGGTGTGGGAGTGGCAAAGTGAGTCAACTCTCTATGAGGTGTTTTCAGATCAGCTTTCTGACGTCAGCCTGGTGCATTCGCCGAACGTGCCCGCATATAGGGTAGCTGCTGGTGTGGGAGTGGCAGAGTGAGTCAACTCTCTATGAGGCGCTTTCAGATCAGCTTTCTGACGTCAACCTGGTGCATTCGCCAAACGTGCCCGCATATAGGGCAGCTGCTGTTGTGGGAGTGGCAGAGTGAGTCAACTCTCTATCATTATAATTAGTCAGATCATAAAATCCTTGAAGGTAGGGCACATGGATGGTACGAGGATAGGTATGAGGATTTTTTGACCTCGTTCAATTAAAGTTAGCAAAGCGAATGTTCACGGCAAGATTATCATAAAATTGGGACCTTTGCATTACATGTCCAGAAGCTTCATGATTAGCCGAATTTATGATCAAAATGTATTCCAACATACAACTTAATTATTCTGAGTTAAGTTTTTACTAGATTGGCCTTTTCACAGGCGAACAGTACGTGATGAAACAGCAAGGTCACACATTCGACATGACCTGTCTCGCGTATTCACCCGATGGGTTGTACATAGTGACAGGTGGATACGATGGCAAAGTCAAAGTTTGGAATACGAGCACCGGGTTTTGTTTCGTGACCTTCGTGGAGCATAAGTCTACGGTCACCGGAATCACGTTCAGCGCCAATAAGAAGTTCTTCGTGTCTTCTTCGCTAGACGGGACTGTGCGGTGTTATGATTTAACTAGGTGAGTCTATATTATTGTTGCGGAACAATTCTTTTATAAAGGACCTGTGGACTTTGGAAGCAATATCATTTCTGATTTGTGACTTACGTGGATATGAGTGGATGTTGTATTGGCAGCGACTTGATTTTTTCTAAATGTTACTACAATATGTTAATGAGTTTCTTGCGTCCATTCTTCTCATTAGCAAAAAAATGTCCTGAATAAGTGGTAGAAACAAAATATTGAATGAATCAAAAGAGCTTCCAATACATTAATTTGAATCACACTAATATTATGAAGGCGAAAGTTTGTGAGTGTTTATGTTTGTTACTTCTTCACGTTTAAACGGCTGGAGCGATTTTAATAAAATTTGGTATGGAGTTAGCTGACACCCTGGATTATCATATAGGCTACGTTTTACTGCGGGAAAATATCCCTAATAAACTGCGGGTAACTCCGCGGGGCACAGCTAGTAAAGTATAATTTCATTTCATTAGATAATTTGTTTTTTCCCCCGTTTCCAGGTACCGCAACTTCAGAACTATGACGTCCCCAAGCTTGGTGCAGTTCAGTTGCGTAGCTTTGGACAGTAGCAGCGAATTATGTGCCGCGGGAGGGCAAGACGTATTCGATATTTACATATGGAGCGTTAAATTCGGAAAACTGTTGGAGGCAAGCAACAATTACATTATATTTAAAATTTTAAGCATTTAACTGCTAAATGTTTAAATGTAAAGAAAAATATACTAGAAAAAATTCTACGCGGATGACTCAGCAGGCGGGACTCTATAGCACCTTGCAGCACAAGAAATACTAGAGAAAAATCGACGCGGCCATCAGGGCAGCGGTATCATAACGGTCAGTGCATCCGCCTGGATAGCGGTGGGGGCGGCTTCGAATCCCGTCTGCAGCCTGATCCGCGTGGAATTTATTCAAGTAAAATTTTCTTTTTATTGCAACGATTACATTATTTTGTTACTAGCTTGTCTGCCAGCGACTTCGTCTGCGTTAGAGTTAATTTGCTGATAATCCCACAGTATATTTTTTCGGTATAACAAGTATCCTATGTGCCAATTTAGGTGATAAACTATATAAATACCAAATTTCATCTAAATCCATTCAGCAATATTATGTGTATATATTATGTATGTATGGGTATGTATATACATATATTTAAGATAAATATAATATCCCTTGTTTCTTTTAATAACACCACCGACTCCAGTTCCTTCCAATCCTCTCTATCCAAACGTTGTTTGGAAGAAATCGCTATCAGCGATAAGACCGCCTCTTAAAGCACTATGTTTACACACAATGTGTTTTGATGAAGAATTGTGTATTATTTTCAAAGAAAAACTTTTGATTTCCAGGTTTTAGGTGGCCATGAAGCACCCGTCTCTTGCTTAGCATTCAGCCCATCATTGGCTAGTTCCAAACTAGCGTCCGCCAGTTGGGACAAAACTGTTAGACTATGGGATTCCATAGAAACCACCACTGAATCTGAGACCATTCAGCTCACTTCTGACGCTTTGCAAGTCGTTTTCAGACCCGACGGGAACGAGGTGAGTGATTGTGAAACTTGTTACAACAGAATAAGCTTCAAGGGAATAAATTCGAAATTGTCTACATTTTCTAAACTCCAATCAACTGAGACAGAAGGCAAAAAAATAAACCAATGTTTCTAAAAATTTTTTAATCGAGAGTAGAGATGACCGGTGTAACCATACTTGTAACAAAAATTCACATTTCCTAGTTCATTATTTACTTTATCACTACTCTTCAATTTAGGAGTATTATAATGCGTTCGCGATTCTGTACTTTGTTGCAGGGGAATAGGATTGAAATAGGGTAGTTTTGCTGGTTATTAGTACCTGTTGGAACAAAACTGTGGAAACTAATAAAAACTAGAACAGACTCTGAGACCGCATAACTTCTGATATTTTGAAAGCCCTGAAGGTCTCGAAAGGACTCTGAAAGTCCTCGTCAAGAAAAACCAGAATTTGTTTGAAATTTTGCATGTTTTTTTTACATTTGTGTTCTAGCATTTTTTTGTTCATGCCCTTCTGAACGTTTATCATCACGTAATATTGTATTTACTTACCCTTACCAGAATGTTGTATTTACTCAATCAATAACTATTTATTTCAGACATTTTGTAAATAGGCTAGTTGACTCATGTCGAATTGTATTAAATAAATGTTTATTTCTTTGTGTATTTGATCTAAGGAACCTAAATATATCGATTTCACTTCATAAAAGCAGAAGATTTCTGTAGAAATTTAATTTAAAAAGATATTTTTTAGTTTATATTTTTTAAACACTAAAAACGCTGTTCGCCACATCCATGATTGTGGCGTCTCTTGTTGTAGTAAACAACTAAATGTCATTCGCGTGTTACTGTGGGTGGATTCTTTCGTCTGACTAAATTTATCTTAAAACACTTTTAACTTTAGAAAAGTTTTCGTTTACTGTTTTTTTTTTGACAAAACTAATTATAGATGCCAGCTTTGTGAAAGCAGAAAGCACAAATCTGCCAAGAATTGACGCATTGATGGTTGGTGAATTTTTTTGCACTAAACCCCGATTTCTGCAGAGAAACGACAGGGCATCTATGTAAGCACAGTGCATTTAGTATTACAATGTAGTATAAACAGAAAACTGATACAGCATATGAATAAGTGTAATAAAGTTGCGTAGGTTAATTTCTTTCGGCACTTTAATCCACAACTTTCCTGGAGTCTTCAAGGATGTGTTTTTATATTCTCGTAAAATACAATAATGATAATTACTTTATTTTTCGTGGTATTTATTAGAAATCATCTTTTTTTTTTATTATAAACTCAAATAAGTTATTTTCTACGTGCTTACGAGTTTTTGTTTACTGCAGGTTGACGTCATAGCATAGATAATCTATAGACTAAAATGGCCGACCGCGTTTTTGTATGTCCATGAAAAGTCTATTTTAAAATTAAAGATTTGTAGCTTTCTAGGTCTCAAAAAAATACATTTTTTTCGGTCTAATAGAACATTTATTAACCATTTAAAACTTTTTTCCAAAAAGGGTCAACTAGCCTATAATATTTTTACATAGCTGTACTGTTAAGAGCGCAAGTCAAATATTGTTTTATAGACAAAAAGTTGGAAAGAGTTAATTTTTCATACAAAGGAATCAAATTTCAATATTAATAAGGACCACACCACTCACCACTTCATTAAAATTGATATACGTGCAAATTTTCTTAAAAATATATAATTCTTTTTAGAGAGGTAGGGAGGGTTTCCGCTCGAATTGGCCCACAAGGGCTCCATGGTGTAGGGTCATTATCATCATCAGCCTTTTAATGTTCCCACTGCTGGGGTCTTCCCTTTGGATGAAATAGGGAGATTGGCCCATGATCCACCACTTGTGCCCAGTGCGAATTGGCGGGTATTAATGACTGCAGATGCAGCCGGGACCAACGGCTTAGCGTGCCTTCTGAAGCATGGAGGAACTCGAGATAGAAGATTTTTGGTCACCGATCTAATGACCGACCATTGCGAAAGTTGCTTAACTTCAACGATCGCAGCCGAGCGCGCCAGCTACCTGCGCCATCGAGCTCCTACTATTTTTTGTATTGCAAGCGTCTATAGGCTATGGTGGCAGCTTACCATTATTGCTACCCTTTTAAAAAAAACGGATCCACGTGCGTCCACAGATTGGTACATTTTCAACTATTAATCGAATCATTAATTGTGAATAGATAGCCGTGTCAACGCTGGACGGGAACATAACCATGTTCAACCCTACGACTAGCGAACAGACTGCCAGCATCGAAGGCCGAAACGACCTTGGCTCGGGTCGAGCTGATACCGACCTGATAACCCCGGAGAAGATGTTGAAGACTAAGTAAGTGTCGCCCTCAAAGATATTAAATACCCTAGATACACTAAGAGCGCTGAAAATGTGTCCCAGTTAAGAAGTGCTTGAACTCCACTCAAGCACTTCTTGGTTCACAATCACGCGCGGACCGTTACAAAGTCAAGATGCCACAGAGCTCCGTGAAAAAATGCGAAAGAAAATACTTATAGTACGAAAAGTGTCGTTTTTTCGCCAGGTATCTATTCAATGTTTGTTAATTTAACATTTAAAGCAAATTTTGTTCCAATACTTGACGACCTCCTTGGCCAAGTGATTTGTACGCCGGGTTTCATGGTGTCGCCGACTCGAGAGGTCCCGGGTTCGAATCCCAGTGGGGGCAGATGTTTGTGTGATGAATTTGTACTCCAGTCATGGATGTTTAACATGTTTTTCTATATAAATATACTTATATATGTACAGTATATGTATTCTGTCCGTTACCCTAAAGTAGAACTTTTTATTAGCTGCAGTAAAATGACGTTTTGTGGGTTACCGCTTTTTGAAGAAAAATAATAGGGATGTAGCTAAGTGAGTAAGTGAATCATTCAATAAATGAATGATCAGTTTGGTTTTGTATATAAGATTTAATATTAAGTTGTAATGATTTTTTATTCTATTATTATTACTACCTATAGTAAAGGATTGATCTTTTTCATTGGAAGTATAGGGACGTACATCCAAAATTAAACAAAAAGTTATTTATTAATCAATCATTTTCGGAATCACTATCGCTGTTGATTTCGGTCACACTAATGACAAATCTGTCTGTCACTTCATCTATAATATGATCGAGGTGGTACATTTTGTCTTCCTCTTTTATAGTGTGCGACACACAGTCACTCCTATTAGGAGGTGTTACTTTGTTGATTGCTTCTTGGAATAAAGTTTTCACTTCTTGCATTTTATATGTTTTATTATTGTTTGCGACGTGCCCTTTTACCTGAGCCCAAACCAACTCGATAGGGTTCAATTCACAGTAATAAGGGGGCAGTCTTAAAAGTCTGATATCTTTTTGTGCAGCAATCTCGTCCACGGCATATTTCTCAGTATGATATTGTTGTTTCACAATATCTATGAGAGTGGCCTTCACAATATTTGGTTTAAATGTAATATTTTAGTGGTCAGTCACTCTTGAATCTAATTGGTTAAAATTCCACATGGGGTGGGAGGAAACATATTATACCTAACGTATAATAAAAAGATTAGTGATGACAGGTAAACTAACCTTTGCGATGGTGGGTACTTCATTTTTATGAAAGAACTGATGTACAATTCGTCTAATAGCGGTGAATGTGATATCATGAAGTTTTTCTTTAAATGTAAATTTTGGGCCAGGTTTTTCGGGAGGTTTTGGTGATTCACAGTCGTTCTCCTTGTGCTCCTTTAAAATGGAATAAACAGTGCGGAGGTATATTCCCAAGACTTCAGCCACCTTGTTGACGCATTCACTTGTTTTTGGAACTTCAATGTTTGATTCTGTAGATTTCACTTCACATATTTGTAAACGTTTCTGACCCAAAGTTTCTCGTCTGCACTTAGAGCTACACGTGCCCTTTTTTTCTCGGGAAATAAAAATGTATCTCCATCTTGTCATATGCTCAACTGAGCATCCATGTATTCGATGTAACAAACGAACAAACAAAAAAAGCTGGCACGATTAACAAAAATAAGTAGGTAACGAAAAACAAACACAACGTAATAAAAATTTAATAACAATGATAACTAAAACAACTCGCAGTGGGCAAAGCAAAGCTATTCGTGCACTCAAAACAGGAGTTAGAAGCCGAATGAGCGAATTACAAATGAAATAAAATGGCGGACAAGCCTCATCGTAGCATCGTAACTAAAAACCAGTACCAACTAGAGATTTTATACAGCCTTTTATTTTTATGAATAATAAATAGAATTAAGTATGATCATTATGAGTTAGTTATGGATCGATTATATTTTCTGTGAACCTAATCACATCCCTATTGAAACTAGGCGGTCAACATTATTATACGGAATGACATTTTGAAACGTCATTTTACTGCAGCTAATAAAAAGTCGAAGTATAGTATCCCATAACACAAGCCTTATAGTGTTTAGCTTGGGGCTAGGCTAATTGGTGTGAGTGTTGGAAATATTTATTATTATTTATTTATTTATTATTAATACTTACTATAAACTGATTTAATATAAAATATTTGTGATATTCAAATGCATGGTCGGTTATACGTCGTCGTATAGCTTGCATTTCGAACTGTCAGAAGACTTTGACGCATGCGTTTTAATTAGGACCTTATAGAGTACGCATTAAAGGTGACTTTTAATGTTTAAATAATGCCTTATATGGTTTTGGACCACTCGATCATCTTAAGGAGCTCCGTGGATCGTCCAATATACCTTATGGACAGGTTTCGGCCATGAATTTCGGTATTTAATATCGTTGATCGCCCTCTATTGATACAATATCGCGTATGAATCTGCCGCTAGTGGCGCCTGTGTAGCGTGAGGTCTCCGAAATGTCAAATGTTATTGCTTGTGGGTTGACTACGGGGGTTTATTTCTTATTAAAATGATGTTGTACATATTTAGTAATAACTCAGATTAATTGTGGCAAATATGAGTTACGTGTCAATGAAAGTCAGTTATTTAAAAGCGGAGCTAGGAAAAAATATTATGTCCTTTTTTTCCGAACAAACCGGAGCCGATAATGTTTACGATCAGGTTCTTATCTATTAAAATATGATTTAAATGTAAACTTTGATTTCATGCTACACGCGCGTTATAAAATTTTAAATGCTACACTTCGGGACTTCACTCAACGGTGTCGCCATCTGGTGAGACAAAATCCGTAGCCCTCATTCGATTCAATATAACGCATACTTAATGTCGCACACTTATACTCTATTCAACTTCCTTTGAGACAAAAGGTAAACAAATATCCAATGTTTATAAAACTATTTTATCGAGTGTAAAGATGGTTGGTGTAACCAGACTGATTACAAAATAGTAGTGATAAAGCTAATAATTTACATTGAAATGTAAATTATTTGCTTCACTACTATTTAATTTAGTTATATTATAATGCAATAATAGTTTGAGATTAGTTTCAGTATTAGGATGTTTTTTTTAAACTATGATTTTATACGAACTTAAAATTTTACCTATTGCAAAGCCTTTTTATGGCATGTTTTCAACTTCGCTGAGATAAGAGGTTGTCTCAGCGGAAGTTGAAAAAAAGAGTACAGTTAAAAAATTAGAGAATTTTCGATAAGTTCCCTTTAGATTAGTTAAAAAGAAATTCAAAAAGCAACTTTCGCTATTGCCATCCAAGATGGATGACCAAAAATTTATTATCTCTCACTCCTCCGTGCTTCAGCAGGTATTATAAGCCGTTAGGTAACCATAAACCCGCCTTGAGGTCGCGTGATTGGTCATGGCCCCATCTGCCTATTCATATTCTATAAATGTATTATAATCAATAATAGGGTATTTGACAGTATTAAAAATAAAGTAACAATTGTTAGCATCTGTGTTTATAATGAATAATGGCTGAAAAAGATAATAGTTTTTTTATCTATTGTCACGTGACCCAAAACACTTGGGATTGGCGGAGCCTAAAATGACATCACACGCAAGTAAACTTCCGGTTAAAGTGACATTACATTGTACCGTTTGACGTTTTAATAACAGTCGTGTGACGTCACACACTAGTAAGACGCCATATTGTCCAGAAAACGTTTTCGCGGCAACTTGAAAATGGAGTTTTTGATTTGGTTATTTTTACTGAAATACTCAACAGAATGAAGAATATCCACTTTTTAAGGACTCGATAAACATTAGTCAATAACCCTATTATATTTTTTTATAATAATTACCCCACTGCTGGGGCACATACATTCGCAATGAATGGAATAGGGGGTCGCCCATCTGGGGAAGTAACCTCCACCTTAAAGAAGACCACAGTAAAATCCTTTTCCTCGTGTAGCCCTGAATCCTTACTCACTGACAAAAACACAACACCACCAAAAAGTAGTATTTTTTACTATGGTCTGTTGTAAAGGTCTGCTCTTCTTCTTAAAATGGGTGCTCTAATTTGAATTGACCTCTTTAAAATTTACTTCATCATTAACCTATCAATGTCCCCACTGCTGGGGCATAGGCGGAAATGGACGAAATAGGTAGATTGGGCCGTCACCCACCACACGGGCCCAGTGCGGATTGGTGGGTACTAACAATTGCATATGCAGCCAGGACCAACGGCTTAGCGTGTCGTGAGATAATAGGTTTTGGTCACCCATCCAATATTCCGACCGTTGCGAAAGTTGCTTAACTTCCACGATCGCAGGCTGAACGTGGTATACCAATGCGCCATCGAGCTTCTTTAATTTAATTTTTCCACATGTTATTTCAGAGCGTTCACCTCCATATGCTACTCTGCAGACGGGACTTGCATATTAGGCGGAGGAAACTCTAAACATGTGTGTCTCTACAGCATCAGGGAAGCCATACTGATCCGGAAGTTCGTCATAACCCAGAACCAATCGCTGGACGCTGTCAATGTGAGATACTGTATAATTATATATTTTTTTATTCTTTAAGCATATAACTGTTCGATGTTTAAATCTAAAGAAAATATTACTAGAAAAATTTCCACGCGGACCAGGCAGCAGATCATATAATTGTTTCTTAGATACAAAGAAAATAGAAAAAATAACGATTCGGCATTGGTAGGTATATTTTAGTTCGTGCTTCGGAAGGCACGTTAAGCCGCTGGTCCCGGCTGTATCTGCAGTCGTTACCACCCACCAATCCGCACTAGGTCCGCGTGGTGGGTCACGGCCCAATTTTCCTATTCCGTCCATAGGGAAGGCCTGTGCCCCAGCAGTGGATACATTGATAGGCTGATGATGAGGTTTATTTTAAAGAGGTCAATTCAAATGAGAGCGCCCGTCTAAAGTAGAAGAGAAGACCTTTACAGACCATAGTGAAAAATACTACTTTTTGGTGGTGTTGTCTTTTTGTCAGTGAGTAAGCATTCGGGGCTCCACGAGGAAGGGGATTTTACTTTGGTCTTCTGTAAGGTGGAGGTTACTTCCCCAGACGGGCACTCCAAATCGAGGGGGACATCCGCTGTGCCCTACCTTTCTTAAATCCTAAAGCTCTCTTATTATATGAAAAAATTAACGTGAAAAATTCAAAATAAAATCGTTTCTGCTAGATTTGAACCAGCGCTATCCGCGCAATGCACTGGTAGCGATTATAAATTTAGCATTTTTATTTCATCCTTAACAAAATAAGAATAAACTTGATAGTTATTACGAATTTTGTTGAGAATAATCGAAATAGAATAAAACAATTAAAGCATGCAAATAATAATAATAAAAAAAATAGTTCCCTACTTCCGCAGAATGCATATTCCATGTTAACTTCAACTTTTGTACATAGTGATTGTTAATTTCGATCATGTCATACATGTCTTCGGTAGTATAGTGGTCAGTATCCCCGCCTGTCACGCGGGAGACCGGGGATCGATTCTCCGCCGGAGAGAATCTTTTTTTGTTTTATGATTTTTATAGCGATAGAACATTAAAACTAAATTATTTTTAATGTTTTTGAGTAATAAATTTTATAATAAATTAATAAGCAAATTTTTTTATTCCTCAATTTTTTAGTCTGTCTATCTTTAAGTCTAAAATTTTTAAAAACATTTGTACAACAACAGTATTGAGTGCGGCTCATGAAGTCATGAGATATCTTCTGACGGATAGTGGAAGTATTAGGGTTCCGTTGTCACGCCTTAGATACGGAACCCTTAAAAAGAACTTTGTTTTATTTTTGCGAATCCTATGTTCACCTTGCGCAATATGCGTGTCAATCGCGTGCGAATCGAGAATTTTAAATTATATTGCCACAACAAATGCCGTTTTCTAGTTTTAATTTTGATTTTACTTTATCATCAACCTGTCACATTTTTATATCTAATAATAATAATAATAATAAATAAATCTTTATTGTGTATGGAACAAGTTAACATGAAAATACAGGTCTTAATGCTAATGTACAGTGCCATTTGATCCTACCTTTTCAGGTGTATACACATTTTGTACGTATAGGAACCATTTGAATATTTCTACTTATATTCTAAATACTCTTGGATACTATAAAAACATTTTTGGCGAAGCCAATCCTTAAGTATTTTTTTTAATTTCAAAAGTTTTAGTTCTTTGAACTTGTCTGGTAATTTATTGTAAATTTTAATGCACATAATAAAAGTGTTTTTAGCTGCTAAAGACAATTTTGTAGCAGGCCTATGGAGCTTATTTTTATAAACTGAGCGTAAATTTCGATTAGTTATTTGATGATTCTCTTTAAATAGATATTTATGTTGGTGTACAAATGTACATATGTCAAGAATATACAGGCAAGGCAAAGTCAACAGCTTATAGTTTCTAAAGTAAGGTCGACAGGAATCAATTTGCTTCAAACCAAATATAGCACGAATACATTTTTTTTGTATTAAAAATGCTTTATCTCTATGAACAGAATTACCCCAAATTAAAACTCCATAGCGTAAGGTAGAATTTATATAGCCATTGTAAGCTGTAATAGCAGCATTTTGTGATACAATTTGACTAATTCTTGCAAGTGCAAATACAAATTTATTAAGTTTTGAGCACATTTCATGTATATGTTGCTTCCAGTCACAGAATCTGTCTAGAATTATACCCAAAAACTTGGTTTGTGAAACATTTTCAATCATTTTACCATTTAAGCCAATATTAAGTTTAGGATGTTTACTTTTATAAGTTCCGAACTGTATGTATTTTGTTTTTTCTATGTTTGGTTTCAAATTGTTAAAATTAAGCCATTCAATTATTTTAAACAATGCCGAGTTAATATTATTTTCATATGTTTTGTAATCTTCTCCTTTATTACCCTTAAATATAATTGTAGTATCGTCTGCAAACAAAATACATTCATGGGGCACAACAGCAGGCAAATCGTTAATATATAACAAAAATAATAAGGGGCCCAAAATGCTTCCCTGTGGTACACCAAATTTATTTATTATATACGAGGATTCATATTTATGCAGACATTTCTTTTCTGAACAGTATCTCTCTGTTACTACACACTGTTCCCTATCTGATAGGTAACTTTTTAACCAGTTATAGCATGGCCCGCGGATACCATACTTATAAAGCTTTAATAATAGTCGCTTATGACATACGAAATCAAAAGCTTTCGTCATGTCTAAGAATAGAACAGTTACTGGAATATTATCGTTTATACAATTTGTTATAGTCCTGATTAATTTAAAGGTAGCTAAAGACGTGTTTTTATTCTTTCGAAAACCATTTTGTTCCTCTTTAATTACATTATTATTGTTTAAAAAGCTCTCTATCTTATTAAACATAATTTTTTCTAATAATTTTGAAAATATTGGTATGAGAGTAACTGGCCTGTAGTTTTGTACCAATGTTTTGTCCCCCTTTTTATATAGTGGCTTTACAATCGATTTCTTTAATATTGTTGGAAAAGTACCTTCTTCTAGAAGCTTATTGATAACAAATGTAAGTGGTCTGATGATGGCAGAAGTGCTTAATTTCACAATATCTGTACGAATTTCATCATAACCCACTGCTTTAGAATTATTCAAAGATTTAATAGTTTTTATCACATCAGATTCAGTAACTCTACTTAAAAATATTGTAGGTTCTACAGCTTCTATATTTTTATTATTCGTTTTAGTATCTGTGACTTTGGGACAGTTATCCGAAACACTATTTATAAAATATTCATTCAAAGTTTCTGAAATTGTTTGTGGGTCAGTCAAGACATTATTAGGGGTACATAACTTTTGTACTGAATGTCGGTTACAATTTTTAGTGAATCTATTAATAATATTCCATACAGCTTTACACTTGTTATCAGAATTATTAATATGTTTTAAATTATGAATTTTTCGTGAAGTCTTAATACATTGTTTTAATTTAGAGGAATATTTTTTATACAGTTTATTGTAAGTATTATGATCAGTTCGATTTTTAATATATAATTTACGTTTTTTATCACATCCAATTAAAATACCTTTAGTTAACCATTTGGACCTTTGCCTTTTTAGATATTTTTTTACTTTTATTACAGGAAAACATAAGTCATAAAACAATTTATAATAACCATAAAACTCATTAAAACATTCATTGGCATTCAAATTACAATTATAAATCGTTGAGAATGATAAACTTTTAAGGCAATCAAGAAACTTTAGCTGATTTTCATCGCAGTAGTCTCTCTGTAATTCATACCACCATTTTACACTAGGCGTTTTTCTTTCAGTAATAGGAATTTTAAGAACTTGACTTGTGTGATCGGAAAGTCCTAAATCATAAATGCTGGATTCACTATTTTTTATATTTGTAGCTATTTGATCAATACATGTTTTAGTGTTTTCTGTAATTCTTGTATATTTATATAAATATTTATATATTCTTTTCTGTAAATCTTACGTAAAATATTGCAGGCGCCTATATCAGACACTAACTTCTGACACATTACACACTACTGTTAAATTACAGTTGCTTGTTATATCTATAGTATGTTATTTGCGATGTGAGAAGAATAGTTTTCATTATTATTATTTTATTTTTGACTTGTTTTTTTACTTTTGATTTTGACTTTTTATTTTTTTTTGGTTTCAGACAGTTGTGTGTGTGTGTGTTCCTCCTCGTTTACACCAAAGTATATTATTATGTATACATGTATAACAAATTTTACACAATGTCTTCATTTTTTGTTTACATTTACATATACACGTATTAAACATGTAGACAATACTTGCATCTAACTTTTTGAACAAACAAAATATGTCAAGTAGTGTACTTGTAAATGTAAACGAAAGAATGTTTTAAACAGTCACAATAAGTATTTTACCAGTGTTTGTGTAATACTGGTAAATGAGTTGTTTCTTGGTGTAAACGAGGTGTTAGTTTGTTATGTATGCCTTATCTCTATTACTATTCTATTTTTTTTTCTCTTCAGGATTTCATAAACCGCCGCTTGTTGACCGAGTTCGGCAATATGGCGCTAGTTGAAGAGAGGACGGAGCTAGAGGGCGCTGACGTCAACATCCGCCTGCCCGGAGTGAAGCACGGAGATATGGCAGACAGGAACGTTAAACCGGAAGTGGGTATAATTACGATCGCTGATTTTTTTTTATTTAGTGGTTAACAATATTGCATTGTGTGATTGAAATGAAATGAAATTATAAATTTTTGCACTTTCAAAAAAAAAATTGATAAAAAACAAAATACTCAGAGCAATAAATAAAAATATAAATGTCAATTATAATAAAAAACTGTTTGTATAATAATAATCGAAAACACTGCATAATTATTCTTATGATAATATTTGAATGTTCGCACTTTCATAAATAGATTAAAAATTATAATAAACTATTTACAGGACCTAACTGATAAATAATACTTACTTAAAAGATTATACGAAACAATAAAATTATTTTACTGGATCGAGAAATGTAATTCTCTGTAGCGCAAATTTCTCTAATCGCATGCGTCCGACAGCGACGTCTGCGCTCACATGTCTGCCCGTTCGGGTAGGCATAGTAAGATTCGTGCGCTCCCCCACCACACGACAGCGCCGTTGCCTGCCGCCACACTTCGGTGAATGTGCGCGACGACGACCGACGGCAGCGGCGGCGATGCAGAGTATTCGTTAAAAGGAACTTTAACTTCAAAAGCCATTTTTTTTTTAACTTGATACACCCAAAGCTTCTAAATATCATGTTCCTTGGTTCAGTGGTTAAGATTTTGTATACAAAAAGTTTGGCTTCGTAGTTCCCAATCCCATACAACTTTTCACCCTCCCTTCTAACCCCTTACGACCCCCTTTTGGCAATAAAAAGTAGCCTATGTCCTTTCTCAGGGTCTAGACCATCTGTATACCAAATTTCATTCAAATCCGTTCAGTAGTTTTGGCGTGAAAGAGTAACAGACAGACAGACAGACAGACAGAGTTACTTTCGCATTTATAATATTATATTAGTCCGGAAAGTCCGGATATAATAAATAATCTTACTAATTCCTTAAAAATATCAATGTCAATAATAAAAAAATATGATTAACTAGTTCCCAATCCCATACAACTTTTCACTCTCCCTTTTAACCCCTTACAACCCCCTTTTCGCAATAAAAAGTAGCCTATGTTCTTTTCTCAGGGTCTAGACCATCTGTATACCAAATTTCATTCAAATCCGTTCAGTAGTTTTGGCGTGAAAGAGTAACAGACAGACAGAGTTACTTTCGCATTTATAATATTAGTCCGAAAAGTCCGGATATAATAAATAATCTTACTAATTCCTTAAAAATATCAATGTCAATAATAAAAAAAATATGATTAACTAGTTCCCAATCCCATACAACTTTTCACCCTCCCTTTTAACCCCTTACAACCCCCTTTTCGCAATAAAAAGTAGCCTATGTTCTTTTCTTAGGGTCTAGACCATCTGTATACCAAATTTCATTCAAATCCGTTCAGTAGTTTTGGCATGAAAGAGTAACAGACAGACAGACAGACAGAGTTACTTTCGCATTTATAATATTAGTCCGGATATAATAAATAATCTTACTAATTCCTTAAAAATATCAATGTCAATAATAAAAAAATATGATTAACTAGTAAGCACACGAGAGCTTCGTCTTTTTCACACATACACCGTGAATTTTGTGTAACCAAAGAAACTTAAAAATCGTGTTAATAAAAAAAAGTGGAAATAGTTGTAAACAGTAAACGTACGTTACCCACATACAAAAACATTGATTTACTTTGTTTACAAATTATCCTAAAAAATAGTAAATTAAGTGACTTAAAGCGGAGACATTTCTCGAAAAAAAATTTAAAGAAAATAGTTTTTTTTGCCTCGATTTTCCCTTTTTTATTTATATGCATATTTTACGTTGTCTCATGCTGTAGGTACTTAGATTTCTTTTTTCATGTGCTCTTTGATTAATTCTATGTCTGCATTTATATTTTTTTCTCATACATACTCTGCGTTTTTTAATATATGAAGAAAGAAAAAGCTTTTTTAATAACCCCTTTTGTTATAATACATTAATTTTATTCTTTATTATTATTTTAGATTTTTGGGACTATGCAGTCCTAATGGGACTGTAGTCACTGCGACCTATAAGATCTATTGTGACTCACCACCAAGTATCTCTTGTAGCCCGAGCTTCCAAGAAGCTCAATATGTTTCTAGTTTTTAGAGATATGATTTCCTCTGGGCGTATTATATGCCGTTCCAAATGAATATTACGTTTTATGGATGAGAGGCCCATAGAAGGTGTTTAGGTATTTCACGCTCCTGATTGCAGTATCTGCAAACATCAGTGTCACTCAATTTCACATGAAATTGGTCTCTATTGAGTTTGCAGTGTCCAGTTATGGCTCTTACGATATCACAGGTGTTCGGCCTGCCAAGTTCTATTAAGTTAACAGTTCTATTATTTATTTAGCGTGCTATTATTCTGGTTTGTTTAACCAGTATTTTTTCGATTCGCTTAGATGGTCGTCCTTAAAAATTTGCATAGCATGGTTTCTAGGGATACCATAGGAAGGTTCTGGTCCCATCTTTTGCCCCTGTGCCCTTGCTCTTGCTCATTCATCATTTCATTTCTCGTTGCCGATTATCTAAATGGCCGGGTACCCATTTGACCACTAACTACATTATTCTGGTTCGATTCCCAGGTTCGAGTCCACTGCGTGAGGTTTTCCCCGACAGGCGAGACTTTCGCCGTCGCTGCTACTGAAGGATTACTGCTGTACAGTCAGAACGCCGGCATCGATGGAACTTTTAGGTAAGAAGATAGTTAAAGTTATTAAAATAATAAATAAATATTTACAACACTCACACCAATTAGCCAAGCCCCAATGTAAGCACTGTAAGGCTTGTGTGATGGGATACTAGGGTAACGGATAGAATACCATATACAGTACATATATAAGTTATATACAGAGTGGAAATTTTGAATGCCACCCCCAGCGGAAGTACTCTAAATACTGGAGATACATAATTTTACTCAAAGAAAACATTCCTTTATTTTTAAAAAGAAACACAACTGCATTCACGGTTTTTTGAAAATTTGCTTGCCACACCCGCGAATCAAACTAGCGAAAATTCGAAAAAATTACATCCTGTATTTTTATGGCATCGATCGATAGGGTCAATCATAGGGATCATATCTTACTAACAAACTTAGTACATTAAATCGAAGGAAAAGCATGAAATCTTAACTTATTTTATTTGAACAAAAAAAATATCATTCTAACTAATTAGTTGCTCGAAATGATCTCCATTTTGTTGGATACACAAATTTATTCTTTTAAGGAATTCATTTCTAGTAATTTTTAATAGCGTGTTGTGATGAATATTAAAAATCGTATTGTGAATCTCAGCTCCTAACTCGTTTACAGTTGCGTAAGATTTTAGTTAAATTTTATTTTTTATACATATCCCCACAAAAAAAAATCTAAAGGCGGCATTAGATGGCCTGTGAGATCACCAGATCTTAGGTGATCTCACAGGCCATCTAATAGGCTAGTTGACCCTTTTTGGAAAAAGGTTTTAAATGGTTAATAAATGTTCTATTAGACCGAAAAAATATGTATTGTATTTTTTTAAACCTAGAAAGCTACAAATCTTTAATTTTAAAATAGACTTTTCATGGACATACAAAAACGCTGTCGGCCATTTTACGCTATAGATTATCTATGCTATGACGTGAACTATGGTAAACAAAAACTCGTAAACACGTAGAAAATTACTTTTAACTGAGTTTATAATAAAAAAAACATGATTTCTAATAAATACCACGAAAAATAAAGTAATTATCATTACTGTATTGTACGAGAATATAAAAACACATCCTTGAAGACTCCAGGAAAGTTGTGGATTAAAGTGCTGAAAGAAATTAACCTACGCAACTTTATTACACTTATTCATATGTTGTATCAGTTTTATGTTTATAACTACATTGTAATACTAAATGCACTGTACTTACATAGATGCCTTGTCGTTTCTCTGCTCCGCAGAGCAGAAATCGGGGTTTAGTGCAACAAATTCACCAACCATCAATGCGTCAATTCTTGGCAGATTTGTGTTTTCTGTTTTCACAAAGCCGGCATCCATAATTAGTTTTGTCAAAAAAAACTAAGTTTACTGTTTTTTTCTTTCAAAAAAAAAGTAAAGTTAAAAGTGTTTTAAGATAAATTAGTCAGACGAAAGAATCCTCCTACAGTAACATGCGAATGACATTCAGTTGTTTGTTTACCACAAGAGACGTCAAAATCATGGCGGATGTGGCGAACAGCGTTTTTAGTGTTTAAAAAGTATAGACTAAATTTTTTTTTTTAATTAAGTTTCTGCAGCAATCTTCTGCTTTTATGAAGTGAAATCGATATATTTAGGTTCCTTAGACCAAATACTTTAAGAAATAAACATTTATTTAATACAATTCGACATGAGTCAACTAGCCTATTGTGCCGTTTGTACCAATCCAGGTATTGAAATGATTATTATTAACATAGGCAGCGGTGATTCTGCTGTTATGGGCCTGAGCACCATCTTGTTGTAAGTTGTTACTAAGTTTGTTACTAAGATATGATCCCTATGATTGACCCTATCGATCGATGCCATAAAAATACAGGCTGTCATTTTTTCGATTCTTTGCCAGTTCGATTCCCGGTGTGGCAAGCAAATTTTCGAAAAACTGTGAATGCAGTTGTGTTTCTTTTTAAAAATAAAGGAATATTTCCTTTGGGTAAAATTACCTATCTCCAGTATTTAGAGTACTTTCCCTGGGGGTGGCATTCAAAATTTCCACCCTGTATATATAGAAATCGTTCTCGTACTCATCACGCAAACATGATATGAATCCTCTATACAAGATTCTAAAACAATGGGGCGTTCTGAGAACTTGAAATTCATGAAAACTTTCGGAGCTGAGGTAGTGAAGCGCGCGTGAATGACAATGTTCTTTTATTGAAATTCATAATACCACGCATCCAGCAGTAAAAATTGTGGCTGTTTGATGAGAAAGCCCTTGGCGCGGAAGAGATTTAAAAAGCCAAATTCTGCCAATTTTGTAACTCACGAATTATCATGCATTTATGTGAAGGAAAATACGCCGAACTCATCCGGACTAATATTATAAATGCGAACTTTATGAACTATATAAATGCAGGTTATTTATCCACTTGTACCACATAAAAACGTCGTTTGAACATTTAAATTAATGGCAACACAATCAAGGAAATGTATTTGAACTAATTGTATTAACTGTCAGTCAAGGACAAATTGTGTCTTTGTTATAACGTTTTTTTCTACGCAGATTCTCTATTTTAATTCAGATTTTCAGCAATTTATTAAATTTATTGAGATTTTGATGAGTGTGTCTTATAAAGTATAATTTTAAATGTGTTTTGAGATAATTTGTACCAAGGTACAAAATTGGGCAAAAATCGTAGGTCTCTTTTATGTTTTTTTTAATTACGACATCAGATTTTTTAATATTGGCAATAAGCTAACTATTTCAGAATCTTTAATAGCGGTCCTAAAGCATTAGGGTAGATAAAAATTATTATCCAATAGAAATGATTGTCATTTAAAGTTAATTTCTAAATTTAAAGTTAACGTCGTACCCTTACATTCTACGCCCGCTAGATGAAACTGCAGTTGGATATTTGGATTTATTTTATCGAATCTGTTAGTAAATAAATCCATGGTTAAATTATAAATGCGAAAGTGTGTCTGTCTGTGTATTACCTCTTCACGATTGAATCACTTAATAGATTTATGTTGAAATTTTGTATAGAGATAGCTTTGTTTTTTATCCCAGAAATCATCCTTAAAGGGGTCGAAAAGGGGGCTGGGACTTTATATGGATAGTAAATTTTTCTATGTGAAATATAAATAAATTCATGATTAAATTCACAGGCCGTACCGCTTAGAATCTGGTTCCACGCCGTACGCAATGAGACAATTACTGGAGGAAAAATCCTGGGGGCCAGCGTTAGTGGGTAGTTTGCAGCTCAATGAACTAACTCTAATACAGGAGTGCGTGGAAACCATTCCGTATAATGACAGTAAGTGATATAATCACCTATATATTTTTTAATTTTTTAAGTATTTATCTGATAGATGTTTAAATCTAAAGAAAATTTTACTAGAGAAATTTTTGTGCGGTCTAGCGCGTGTGGAATTTTTATCAGTAAAATAATTTTTGCAGTTAAATGCTTAAAATAAAAATATAAGAAACTACAATCACTTGACTATTTATTCTTCCAAATGTTTCATACTTGCAAAGCTATTCATTTGACATTGTGGGTTACCTACAATGCAAAGAAATGCCACTGCCTGGCAGCATTCTTCTTCTTCTTCTTCTTCACGGTGGGTGTTTTCCGCAACTCGACACCAGGTGCCTATTTTGCGTGTGAGGATGGCCTTAGTCGTGCCATCCCAGCTCCCCCAAGAAGCTCAGCAGTCTCCTGATGTCGCCGCAGGCCTCGAGTAGCGTCTGCGGGCTGCCCAGGTGTGTCATTCGATGTCTGGTCACGCCTCTGCACTGCAGCAGGACGTGAGTGCTCGTCTCCTCTTCCTCCATGCAGGCTCTGCACAGAGGACTGTCCGAGACACCTATTTTAAACAGATGTTTATTAAAGTGTCCGTGTCCTGTGAGAATACTCACTATTTGTTTCAGAGCATGTCTTGGTAACTTGCAAAACTTACTTGCTAGCCGTGGGTCTACCTTAGGTATGGCCTCCCTGGCGTGCCAGCAGTCTGCAAGTCCAGCCCAGTATTCGTTGTGTAGTCGCAGGTACCGTTCCCTAATCCAACTTCGCAGCAGCCGGTATGGGATCGGTACGATTGGTTCTGGGCCATATACCACAGTGTCCGACCCTCTCCTGGCCAGACAATCTGCTGCATCATTGCCCCTTGACCCACTATGTCCTTTTATCCATTGGAGTATGACCTCGTTTTCTCTGCCTACCTCCATGAGTTTGCAGTGGCATTCAAAAACCAAGCCGGACGTCATTACATTGTTGTCTAGCGCCTGGAGTACCGAGGCACTGTCAGAGAGTATCCGGATGTTTCTACTCCTGATTGCACGTTTTGTGATGGCCTCCGCTGCTCTGAAAATGCCTATACACTCCGCCTGAAAGACCGTATTGAGGATGCCCAGGCTGTCTGATATATGAATGTTGATATCCTCTGAGAACACACCTGCACCAGTACCTGAGTTGGTTTTGGAGCCGTCTGTGTATACCCTCAGCTCCTTGTGTAGTCCTCGGTCAGGATTGTCTTCATATAGTTGTATTCTATATTTTTTGTCAAATACATACTGTCTAGGGATGATGTCGTTTCTCGCCATGAAGAAGGGGTATTCTTCCTCAATGCCTTTTAGAATACGTGTATGTGGCGTATTGTAGTCTCTCCGCAAGCCTAGCATATGGAGCCTAGTAGACGCACATGCTGCTTCTTGCTGGATGTAGAAATGTAGTGGTCTTACGTTCAGAATTGTCTCAAGTGCTGCAGTAGGGGTGGTTTTCATGCAGCCCGTTATCGCCCGGCAGACCCTCCCTTGGAAGCACTTAAGTTTGTCTATGGTTGTTACCTGTGTTGTCTTCGTCCACCATACAAGCGCTGCATAGCCTATGATGGGTCTTATTATTGTCGTGTATAGCCATTTTGTTATAAAGGGGGATAAGCCCCACCTCTTACCCAGCATCCTCTTGCATTGGTACAAAATGATGCAGGCTTTCTTAATGGTTTTGTCAATATGTGTTCCCCAGTTGAGTTTGGCGTCTAGATTTATGCCTAAATACTTTACCTCCTTTGAGAAACACAGCGTCTTGCCGAATAATACTGGCATGCGGTAGCTGCCCAGGTTCCTTTTATTGGTGAACAGAACTAGTTCTGTTTTACCCGGGTTTACCTTTAGTCCATAGTCCGAGCACCATATCTCTACCACTCTCAGTGCCCTTTGTGTCACATCGCATACCGTGTCCGCAAACTTACCCGGGATAAGGATCGCCAGGTCATCTGCATATCCTATTGTGAGGTAGTGCAGATTGTTCAGTCTTGTTATGAGGTCGTTCACAACTGTATTCCAAAGTAGTGGTGAGAGTACCCCCCCTTGAGGGCAACCTCTCGTAGCCAGTGCTCGCAGTTGATTCTCTCCTTGTGGTCTTATTAACCTGTTAGATAGCATGTTACTTATCCACTGGACGATGGTCTCATCAGCTCCGTGTCTAAGTAGGGCTGTCGTAATGCTGCTAAAACTGGTTTTGTCAAATGCTCCCTCTATGTCTATGAATGTGCCTAGGCAGAGCTCCTTACGTCCTAGGCTGTCCTCGATCATGCTTACTACGGCATGCAAAGCCGATTCTGTCGATTTACCTGGACTGTAGGCATGTTGATTTGGGTGAAGCGTAGCCTTAGTCAGTTGATTGTCTCTTAGTTCTCTGTCGCAAAGCCTCTCTAATGATTTTAGTAAGAAAGAAGAGAGGCTAATTGGTCTGTATGATTTTGGCTCACTATAGTCGCTCTTACCAGGTTTAGGGATGAAAGTTACTCTGACATCCCTCCACAGTTTGGGTGTGTACCTGTAGGCCAGGCATGCTCTTAGTAGAGCTACCAGGATCCGTATTAGGTCATCTCCCGCCCACTGAAGAAGTGCCGGGAAAATTCCATCCGGACCCGCGGCCTTGAAAGGTTGGAAACTATTTAGTGCCCATTTTACCTTGTCCTGTGATACTGTCTTGTTAGCTATGTCCCAGCAGTGTAAGGTCGGTGTCCAAATGTTTCCCCCCCAGACATGTGCTGGCTTCATCACACAGCCCGGGAAGTGCGTCTCCAGGAGTAGCCTCTGTGCTTCTACCGGTGTTGAGGTGTATGTCCCGTCAGGTCTGCACAGCTGGCCCAAGTCCTGTGAGTTGTCTTTGCAGAGTAATTTTCTTACTTTGTTTGCCGTGGAACACGTGTCAATGCTGGTGCAGAATTTCCGCCATGACCCATCGCTCCAGTGCCGAATTCGTCTTTTGTACAGAGATTTTGCATCTCTATATGCGTCCCAGTCTTGGTCATCACAGGTGTTCATGGCCCTGTTAAAGAGGCGTCTTACCTTTTTCCTCAGTCTTGCAAGTTCAGGTCCCCACCAGGAGTTTTTGTTACTAGGGTTAGTCCTAGGTGTGCTGAGGGGGCATGCATTCCGGTAGCCGGACATGATGGCCTCAGTCAGCTCCTCGGTGGTCTTGTCTATTGTCTCGGTGTCCTCATAGTCCCTGAGCTGCATGCGCTGTAGGGATTGAGTTACCTGTAGTGTATACTGCTTCTTATTTGTCTTCCTAGGTATGCGCCTGGGTGTCGGGATTACAGTTTGTATAGCGAGTTTGAAAGTGATCCATCTGTGGTCCGAGCAGGAGGCCTCCATGGAAACCTTCCAGTCGGACACCAGATTGGCACCCATCCTCGTCGCCAGTGTTAAGTCTATGATGGTTCTTGCTCTTCTTGTCACGAATGTTGGAGCCGACCCTATATTTAGGATGCTCAGATCTGTCGTAAAAAGAAAGTCTACTAAGTCCTCACCTCGCTTGTTGCTGTTTGGCATGCCCCATAGAGGATGATGGGCGTTGGCGTCAGCGCCGATGATCAGCGCCATGTCGTTTTGTTCGCAGTATCTCACCAGCTCCACTAGTTCATCTGGTGGTGCCGACTCCTCCTCATGCATGTAGGCGGAGGCCATCACCAGATCGGGTACACTTGGATCTTGCGATTGTTTTATTTTGATGGTCGTTAGGTCGCTAGAACAGAATTGTGTCATTAATTGTGCCTGTATGGTAGTAGAACATATGATACAGGACCGCGGAGCACGGTTCTTTGCTGTATAGAATGTCTTACCACCGCTGTTTCTGAAGCCGCATACGCTATTGGATCTGACCCACGGCTCCTGGATCAGAGCCACTGCCTTGTCGTTAACCTCCAACCATCTCGTGAGCTGAGCCGTTGCGGTACGACTGTGTTGGAGGTTAGCCTGGATGGTCTTAATGGTCGGTGGTGGAGGCGCCATCGGACGATAGCAGCACATCAACATCGACCTCCTGATCGATGTTGATCCCACCGAGTCTGTCTGCCCACTCGTCTACAACCTCCTGCTCCATCCGCTCCATCGAAGCAGCGTCGCAGGTGGCCGAGGTGTCGTCTGTTTCAGTCGTACGCTGCGGCGTCTCAGGAGGCTCTGGTTCTCTCTGTGACGGAGCCGGTGTTGTATGCTCTAGAGGTGGCAGGGTTTCAAGGTACGGACCGCCCTTGCTCCTGAACCTCACGTACACAGAGCCCAGTAGATAGCTGAGTTGCCTCCTCCTCGCTACCAACTTCTCCGCAACGTCCCGTGTCGTACTAAACACCAGAAAGGTGCTCGTGTCGCCTGTAATTGCCTTATGTAGCAGCCAACGGTCTACTTCGGCATCAAGATTTTGATACCGAAGCACATTGGCAATGGTATAGGGCTCTCGGATGTCCGGTATGAGCAGCCCACATACCACCCTGCTAGGTCGGTCTATTTGTCTCTGGACAACCAAGTCCTCCACCCCCGTCACTTTCAGTGACCCCACCGTCCTCTTCAGCCACTCCAGTGTCTGGGGTGTTTTGCACCAGAGGCTCAAGGCTCCGTCTGCAATCATGGGTTTCCCCTTGAGAGACGGTCCTTCGATTGTTGGGGATCCAATCGCCTTAAGCGTTTCCTCAACAATTGCCTCTTCTAGCGCTTTAAGGACTTGTCCAGCCACGGCAGCGCTGATGTGTCCGGTCTTCTTACTGGTGATCACCACCAGTAGGTCAGCTTTGGCAGCGTCGGCAAATGAGGGCCTCCCAGGTCCCTGGCGCGGATCTTCCGATTTGGGCTTCTTGTGCTCCCCCCTCGGTGAAACCGTGTCATCTAGCCTAGGTCGCTTGGAGGTCTCTTGTCTGTCTGTGTGTGTGTCTTGGTCTGTCTTTTTGTCGCTCGGAGTGCTAGTATGCGCCAATTTCTTGGCGTCCTCCAAAGCCTTCTGTCGGTTCCTGATTTTCCTCGCCCTCTTACTGAGTTTAGGTTGATCAGTCTGTCCGTCATTGTCTGGTCTGTGTCCATCGGCATTGCGACTACTGTTCCGGTCACCACCCCTCCGCTTTTTACGGCGATGGGAGACGACCTTCCAAGAGTCAAGCTCTGCCTCTGAACTGTCTTGTGCGTGCTGCCTGACACCGGGTTTCCCCTTCAACAGGACTTCCGCCGCACGGGAGGTCGATGGTAAGTCATGTGCTTGCTGCCTGACACCGGGTTTCCCCTTCAACAGGACTTCCGCCGCACGTGAGGTCGATGGTTTGCTTGTCATGTCGGTCTGCCTGACACCGGGTTTCCCCTTCAACAGGTCTTTGTCGTCTTTGTCTGTTTTTGTTTTAAGGGATCTTTGTTGTTCCATGTCCACGTTATTGTCAAAAATTCATCCTCACCAGTCCCACCCACCACGGAGCCACAACTGGGATGCCGATATCAAAAATCGAGGCACCAGGATTGTGGTGAGGATATAGGGGCACAGAGTTTTCCTCCCTGCGCGACATCGGGAGCTGCAGCTACATGGCTGGTGGTCGATCCCAACCACCAGTGGTTCCATGCAACCTTGCTCCGTCAGCATGGCCGGAGTCCATCGCTGGATGTTAAAAGCGACCCCCATGCCCCTCGCCGGCGACCCATAGACGGTAGACGCCTTGACCGTTGCCGCGTGGTCGGCTACACCACGAGGTTACCGTCTCGCTGGAAATCCGGGCCAAAGTGCTGTGTTGCTTCCGGGGTGCCGCAGCTACCCTTTCCGCTCAAACACCAGGATCCCTTCATCCCCGCTCACGGCGGTGCTGCGCAGGTCCTAGCGCAGGAGAGGCTGAAGTACCACCAGGCCGCCTCCCTGTTCCTGGTGGATGGGGGGAAGTCGTCTGACTGTTTCAGTTACGTCTGTTTCATAGGGAATCAGACCAATAACAGGCGGCAACCACGTGAAGGAAAACAGCCAGGCTTGTCTGGGGGATCTACACGACATGCGCTCGCTCCCCAGACCATTAGCCAGATTACCAAACGGGACACAGAATGGTAAAATAGGTGATGTGTTAGGTTTAGCCGTCTTGTGCTGTATACAAACTTAACACATCCCCCGCCCAGCATAAGAAATACTAGAAAGAATTGACACAGCCGGTAGGGCCGCGGTAGCATAATGGTCATTGCATCCGCCAGAATAGCGGGCGATTGCTATGCGAAACTGAGTTACTCCGTGATCATGGCGCGTGGCGTAAACCAAATATCGGGGACTCACAAAAACATGGTAAATGGTAGCAATCCCGTTAATAATTGTTATAATTATTTTTTTCTTATGTTTTCCGCACACCAATCATTGAATGAAACACGTTATAAGTAATATTGAACAAATAAATAGATGGAGCGCGTTTTCATCACCTTATTGTTGACGTTTCGTGATCGCAATAGGATTAATTATTTGTAAAATTCTATACATTCTGGCTGAAGAGTTTACTAAATAAGATGCGTTACTATTAAAAATTTTTGAAAGGTAATATCCCAAAATATTTAGAGTCTGAGCTACATAGCTACGTATAGACATTAGACAGGTCAAGTTATTTAAAACTGTCTAATTACTCCAATTCACTTCGAGCTCATGTTTTTGAAGAGTTTAAGATTTAAGTAAAACAATACTTGGGAAGATTTGGTGGTGGTGCTGAGTGCTGACTACTTAGAGCAGGGTTGCTCTAACTTGAACTGCTGGCGATCTAGCTCAAATTTTTTAAACTACTTACGATCGAATCTGAGAGGCTGCAAGTATGTGTGATGCAGGGTTGTCGTACATACAAAATACACCCCACCTACCTACCTAGGTAGGGTGTACCGTAGCATATATAGATATTAGCTTTCCGCGCAAAATATTTGATAATTCAGCCTCATACGTATCATAATTCAACTGAGGAATCCTTGCTTTCAAAGACGGAAAATGTTTCAGATCCTTTCTTTTCAGTTGATCTATGATAAGTTGCAATTTAGTTTTGAATGCGTTTACTGCGCTAATCATCTCAATAATAGTTTTTCCTTTACCGTGAAGCTCCAAGTTAATGGTGTTTAAGTGCATTGTGATGTCAGTCAAAAATGCCAAATCAATCAGCCATTTTTCGTTTTTCAACATCTGAGTGTCATTACCTCTTTTGTCTAGAAAAGCTGTTATTTTGGGCAATAATCCTTGAAACCTTTCTAGGAATTTTCCGCAACTCAACCACCCGACGTCCGTGTGAAGAACTAAATCAGTGTGTTCAGCTGATTCCCTATCTTCCAACTGCAACTTAAAGAGCCGCCGTTGCAAGCTACGTGCACGGATGGAATTTACAATTTTTATTGCAATGCCCATAATTTCCTCCGCATTTAAAACTTTTGAACACAAAACTTGTTGATGTATAATGTAATGGAATGAAAAAAATGAAGGGAAATCTTCATTAGCTCAACGCAATGCCACAAAACCGTTTTTGTTTCCAGTCACTGCTGGTGTCATCGGTTGTAAAACACAATAATTAATATGTGGCGGCGACATCTATATGCCCCACATATAGACAACGGATGGAGGAAATCATTACTCACCATCCTCAAGAGATGGCGTTACCTGCACTGCGATCAATAATAGTATGGAAGCCTACATCGCGCAAATGAAATTCGGTACGATGCCCGACCAACATCAGTCGAGCCGCGGCCCCCGAGCTAACATCACCCAGCTCGGAGGAAGATTTTCCCCTTTGGCCTTCCTACACTTTGGCCTTCCTACAAATATATTGGTAGCTTGTAGTTTTTTACAAAATTGAAGAAAATGTCATATATATATCTTCGGCACGGGTCTCCTTCAGAGGAATGATTGTCAAAAAATCCCTCTTAGCCAACATGTCATTGTCATACCATCCGAATAAAAATACACAGCTGGGCAGTGTCTGTCATATCGGTGTTTATCTGCCATGTCCTGACTCATAACTTCAATACGCCTTGTGACAGTCAGACGAGATAACTGAAGTTCTCTAATAGCAGACATGATTTCTGTTTTATTTTTAAAATCTCCAAATAAAGTCTCACCCGCTTCAATAAATGCTTCCTTCACAACTGATCCATCTTCTAATGGTTTCTTGTGTTTTTTGCCAATATATGAGATATTTTAAATGACGCGATCGTAGCAGCTTTTGATTGTTTGGCTGGTCTTGTGAACATGGTTTATTCTTTTTTCAAACAAGATATCAAATCACCTACTTTTCGTTTTCTTAATTCACTCTGTGGCGGAATAGTTATTTGTTCAACTAGAGAGGAAAGTTGGTTTTCCAAGCGAGTGCTAATTTGAAAATCCTGAGCATCGCGAGGGATTCCAAGGTACGAGATGGAAATAGCTTTTCTCTCGCGTGACACATACAACTTTTCACCTTAGCAGCGAGAACATTATTACAGATAAAAAGATACAATATGAATAAAAATGAAACCACATATATTTGCAAACAATAAGTATCTACTAAAATTTAAAATTGCAGTTATTAAAAGTTATATTTTGAAAATTTATAGTTTTATTAGGAAGTGATACCGTGGAGTTTGCGATTTGAGTTTGACTCGAGTTCGTTTCTATTTCTTTATTGGACTGTGACGAGACAATACTATTAGTAAACGTTGGCGACTCGGTGCGGCTTCTTACCGAATTTTCAATGATATTTGTGTTTTTGGAAGTAGAGGGGCGCGGGTGTGCATAAGGATCAGGTCTGTTACTCTTTCACGCCAAAACTACCAAACGGATTTGAATGAAATTTGGTATACAGATGGTCTAGACCCTGAGAAAGGACATAGGCTACTTTTTATTGCGAAAAGGGGGTTGTAAGGGGTTAAAAGGGGGGGTGAAAAGTTGTATGGGATTGGGAACTATGAAGCCCAACTTTTTGTATACAAAATCTTAACCACTGAACCTAGATTTCTTCTAGAGATTCTAAATATCATGTTGATATTTAGAATCTTTGGGTGTACCAAGTTAAAAAAAAATTTGGCTTTTGAAGTTAAAGTTCCTTTTAACGAATACTCTGCATCGCCGCCGCTGCCGTCAGTTGTCGGTCGTCGTCGCGCACATTCGCCGAAGTGTGGTGGCAGGCAACGGCGCTGTCGTGTGGTGGGGGAGCGCACGAATCTAACTATGCCTACCCGAACGGGCAGATCAGGGGGGGGGGGGCAACTCCGGTATGTATGCCATTAGCTCAAAAAAGCTAGTGCCATCTAGTTAGCTTGTTCCTTGCTATTTATAAACCCTGCACATTTTTGTAGTTCAATTATTATTGGTAGATGGTACTGCTTGTGCGTCAAAATACCCTTTTTTTGGGCTGCCAGCCCCTCTAGCATGACCACCGAAACGGGATATGTTAAAGCGATATATCGGCTAGTCAGACTACTGTCAAACTCACTGTAGTCTGACAGTTAGTGCCGATATATCGCTTTATCATATCCCGTTTCGGTGATCATGCTAGAGGGGCAGGTCATGAAATGTCATATTTGTTGCTGTTTGAGGATTTTTCTATTTAATAAAACTATTGTTAAATTTCATATTCTTTGCTAAAGATAACGCTATTAATTTTCTTTATGTTTAATGTAAATGAGATCTTTCAATGTTTTAACTGAGAATCCATTTAAGCATTTTTGCTGGTAACTCTAATTCTTTTGGAGGGGTTTCTCATGAATGTGGCAGGTAACACCGCTAGCTAGTGTCAATCAACACAAATTGCAATTTGAAAGTTTGGAAAAAGTTCGTTGTGGTTATTTTCTTCAGCTTTTCTCCTTTCTTTTGTGATTTTGTGTTACGTGCGTTGAGTTGATTAATTTCCTCGATTTGCGATATTGTGGACGCTTTCATAGATATTGTGAACTCCAGTTTTTGCGAAAATAGACGCTTTTAGTTTGTGATTCTTTTATAATTTGTGGACGTTTAGTGATAAGTTCTTGTGGCTTGGGACCATTTAGTTTAAGTTTTATTTGATAAGTCTATCAAGAATCTGTTTTTAACCATGCCATCTACACCTTGTTGTATATTTGGCTGTACTACAACAGGTAAGGCTGCTGTTCCTAACTAATTTAACTTATGAAAGGTACTTTGAGCTATATTTATGCAATACTTGTGATTGTGCTTACAGGTGTCACCATACATAACTTTCCAAATCCTTTGAAAGATCTTGAACGTTTCAAAATGTGGGTGAACCTTGCTGGACCACTATTAAATGAGTTATCTGATGAAGAAATTTATAAAAGGAAAAAGTCTGCGATGTTCATTTTACCCCACAGCAGAAAAACAGGAACAGTCGTTTGTATGCTCTAGCTGTTCCTTTATTACTATTGCCAGGTGTGTTTCAGATAATTTTTTAATTTTTTAAAGTAATGATAAAGCTTTATAATGCAGTTATTTGACAGTAACACGCTAATTTTATTTTTGCAGGTCTTACCACTATAACTGATCCTTCAGCTCATAACAGTACTGAAAATCCATCCACGTCATTTCAGCTTGCTATGCAAACAACGACAACTGTTATGCAGCCGGGTTAGTGTAACATTTATTTATTATAATATATTTAAATAACTCTTCACATTGAAAAGAAAAATAACATATTCTAGGTTTTTTCTTCTGACTTATAATTTTCTTCTTGCTGCTTTAAAGTGATTCAAGTCTAATTCTACTTTCAGGGATGGCCTCCATAGATACTGCGCATTGCAGCGTTATGCTGAGTGACAGATGGCAGTCTGCATCATTAACTATGCCTTCAACATCAACACAGGCAGACCAGCCACAGACAGGTATCTGCACTATATTATTTGCTTCTATTCAAGGTTCTGTACATTATTTATCTATATTTCTCCACACTGTGACTCGGTTGGCACTATAGAATTACAGGCCTGTATGTATTACTGTTACAAAACTACCTTATTGTTTTTTTCTCTCCATGTGTAGCAACAATGGGGATGGTCGATGTCCAAGTGGTCGAAGGCTTTATAGACTTGAAAAAATAATGCAACTCATCATCAGCATTTTAATGTTACTGCTGGGGCATAGAACTTCTCTATGAATGGAATAGGGAGATTGAATTGTCTGAAACAAGGAGAATCTCGTGATAATACATTTTTGTTCACCTATCTAATGATGAACCATTGAGTTAGTAACTAACTTCCACGATCACAGAGTAAACGCACTAACCACTACCGCTAACTCCTTACCGGTACTCTCTCCCTACTCAGGTACCTCGAAGTTCGCGTCCATTATTGAAATATAGTTTCTTATGAAGGTTTGTGGTTTTAAACGAGAAGTTTTGTAAATGGGAGCTTGGAATGATGTATGATAAAAAAAGCAAAAGCTTTTTATTCATTGAGAAGGACATGATACACGAAAAACATAGTCCAGGAAATGAAGCATTTCGGCTTGCAATCGTCCACCATGGATTTACTTGAAATTTTCATAAAAGGTAGGGAACAGCTCAAGGAATATTTTCTATATCATGCCCCTGTACGCTAGGGCCTTGGGGATGGTTGCCACCCCATCGCGGGGGTGGAAATTTTTTATTATATTTTAACTGTAAGAATCGACGGAAAAAGTGTTTGTAAGAAAAAAATGTTCTTTACGTTTTTTTCGTAAAACTAATATTTTTTGAGTTATTCAAAGTTGAAAGTAACAGATTTTTGACGAAAAAGTCGACCTTTTCAAATGTTTGTTTTTGCGAATAACTCTAAAAATATAAATTTTATCAAAAAAGTGTAGAGTCAAATTGTACCTTTTAAAAAAACGAAAACAATGCGTTTTTTATAATTTTTCTTTGACAAATATGAACTAAGATACAGTAAATTAATGCTTAGCTTTTTTCGTCAAATGCATAAATCAGAAGATTAATAGCGAAATAACGAGAAAAAATTGCATTATTCGAAGAAAGCTCATAGAATCTTTTTAAAGTATTTAATTAGAGCTTTCAAACAAATAAAAACTGTCTCTAGCATGAAAATTGTCCGACTTATGATCAAAATAAGATCGGTACCCGCCTTTTTTCTACGAAAACATTCTGTGAAAACAACCCCTAAAGTACCCCGTAGTAAAAATTTATCGCCACTATATGTACTATTAATACACCCATGAAGTTTGACCAATTTAAAGTGCCAAATTTAAGAAAAATTGGAGTTTAAGGAGAAAAACGGTTTTTTTCAATTTCGTGTTTTTCACCATTTTCTTAAAAATATCTCTCAAATAATAATAATAATATTCTTTATTGACATACACTTCACAGGACATACAAGACATTAAACATGACAGTGAAAACGTACACAATAGGCGTACTCAACGTAACTACCTACTCAAAATACTAAAGAACCGAAAAAAACGACAAAGTACTAAATTGTAGCTTTTTTAATGACAAAAAATTCCCTGTGTGCATATTTTTTGTACAGTAAATATTCGGCGAGATATAGCTGTTTAACACCTCTATCACCTAAAATGAAGGAGCTTAGGAGATAGGGACACATTTTGAGCGTACGTGGTGTGTCTAGGGTATTTATTATATCGTTGTATAGAATCGATAAATAGAAATAGATGCAGGAACTATTTAAGATTGATTCAAGACATAAATGAAGGCAATAGGTTCAGTAGAACTCGAAAAATACCTAACAGATTTTGTGAAGCGCGGGAACCAAAATAGTTTGATGGCCTTGTTCTTACCACATACGAGGGGATTATGACAAATACTTTGACAGTCGTTGGTCAGCGCATTCGCCCGGATAGCGAAGGGTGCGGGTTCGAGTCCCGTCTGCTGCCTGGTCCGCGTGGAATTTTTTCTAGTTATATTTTCTTTAGATTAAAACATCAAGCAGTTCCATGCTTAAAAATAAAAATTATAATGAAGGAGCTATGCTTAAAAAACCGATAATTTTTTTTAAATAAATTTCAATGCTTTTAAGGGTAGTTTTTAACAAGGGTAGGTTGAAAGATTATGAAATTGTATCCTAAGGCATGAAACAATCATTTTTTAACTATTTTTACCCATATTTAGGTTTTTAATTTTATTTGATAATTTTTGATAGTAAGGAGTAGGCTTCACCCCTAAGAAACAATAAGCGTACAACGGCACAATATAGAAAATGAACTAGAGAGTGAAATAAGCCTAATCCCAATTTTTTGTACAAATCGGTGCTGGACGAAAAAATGCGAGGTTTTACCATTTTTTTGCTTCATTTCCAGTCCCATGCATAGTCGTAGCATGAGCATCACAATTTATATTATATCAAGTTTTTTATCGCGCCTAACTGTCAAACTTCATAGTAATTTCACAATTGAGCGTGATAACAAACGCGTTACATATCATATCGCCGTGCTCATGCTAGGGGGGGCTGGATTATAAGTGTTTTCATCCATTCTTATTTTGCTAAAAATCCCATTCTTTTCCGGAATGCAACTCATTGCCTTAGTCTTTTAAGGTCACACATACTCCGACTAATTTCCTTAGTGGTCGCTGATGGGCCTCAGGCCTGAACAAATGTCTACTCTTTTTAGTTATTTATACCTTTTTATGTTAATTTTAAAGTTTTTAAAATCCCACCCCTTTTTGCGTTCGTATTTATTGTTGTCACAAACTGTTTTTTTTTCTTTTCAGATCCAGGAAAATGTAAGCCATTAAGAATTGTCACTACGCCCAATACACAAAAACAAATAAAAAATCTGAAAGGTGAAATTTTAAGGCAAAAAAAGAAGTCTACTAATTTCAAAACCAGACTGGAAAATGAAGAGAAACTGATGCATAATAAAGCATTTAAATTAGTGACAGAGAAAATGAACTTGCCTGCAAAAATTTTCACACAGATGCAATTCTGTGAAACACAGAAGAAACCAAAGGGTCGCCGGTTTGCTGTGGAAGAAAAAATATTATCCCTTTCTTTGTACAAAAGAAGTCTGAAGGCATATAATTTATTGAAGAAATGCTTCACATTACCATCAACTAAGTCTTTAAAAAACTTGCTTGCAAAAATAAAAATTGCACCAGGTATAAATAATTTAATTTTTGAAAAAATCAAAGATACTGTAGCAAACATGAGTGAAGATGATAAATTATGTGTCTTGATTTTTGACGAGATGTAACTCCTCAAATACATTATGATTCCTATAATGATAAATTAAAAGGATTTACAACATTTGGTCGACAGCAAATTGCTGATCATGTGCTGACATTTATGATCAGAGGGATAAAAAAAAAATTTTACGCAGTGCTTAAATAAAATTGATTTAAAAGAAATTCTCAAAGCAGTAATTACAGAAGTAATCGCTACTGGCCTTAAAATCATAGCCACTGTATGTGACCAAAGCACTGTAAATGTTGGAGCAATTGAAGGCTTAATAAAGGAAAGCAAAGAAATGTTTTTAAGAAAAGGTATGCCTTGGAAAGAGGACTGCATAATTTA